CCTTCTAGATCCTCAACACGCAGTCTGCATCTGTCACCAGGTTTCCCTCTTCATCCTTATAGGAGAATGTGCCCACAAGAAAACCGTCGTTTTGGGTGTTTTACTAGTTGGTAATATTTCCGGACTTCATTCTGACTCACATCAGTAGCATTACGACACTCCTAATCGTACCATGGATTTCTTGATGCCGGTCTTTGGTACCCAATTGTTGCTTTTGCTGCAGTTTGTAGGGAGCGGGCAATTCTTTGCCATTGTGCTTCTATATTATTACCGGGACAAGGAGTGATTTCGTCAAGTAGGTGGTTCGGGAGTAGGCTTCTGTTATCTGTTGTGTTTGCAGCTTTTCGACGTAGAGTTTCCGTGTTGTGTTAGATCGCACATTTGTTGCTACATTAAGACGAGTGCAAGCCTAGACTGCCACAAGGTAATGACCCGAATTGATATTCGCTCCTCGGATCGATCGAACATCAAAAACACTGAATGAATGCCTTCCGCCTATTACAACATGATCTTGTTGCTTGATCAGGAGAAATCCAGGTGGCATTGTGTAGAATCCGCGAAGTCAATTAACCTCATGCCGTTGTTGTTTCTTCGTCCGGACTGCATTTTCTCTTAGCAGAATTTTAATGTCAATGCCAGGGCAGCGGTCATATGCTGTTTCTATACGTTCATAAAATATATCTTTGTCTTCTGTCGGGGCATGAACTGATGTAGAACATCTTCGCTTTTATGCGGATTATAGCAATTCGGTTATTTATTGAAGTGAATCTGGAGACAAGGTCTTCTACCAAGATAAGCCTGGGCTTTGCCATGTTAAAGCCAATCAGAACCTGAACTGAAATGTCGTGGCAAGTGCAATTATATGACGGTTTTTTTATTTTGGGTTCTCTTTGATCCAAGTTTCAGGGTAGCTCTCATATAAAGGTACCCCACATTTTCGGTATTTTGGGGTTTTTGGACACGTTTTCCAACCGAATTGGCTGTAAATTGGTATTTTAGGATATCATTGTGTAGCACATCTCCGTACCAAAAATTATTGTTATTGGCCCAAGTTTCAGGTTAGCCTCCATATAACTGTACCTCCCAATATTCGGTATTTTGAGGATTTTGGCCATGTTTTTTCACAGAATTGTCGGTAATTTGGTATTTTGGTGTTTCATTGTGTAGCATATATTCGTACCAAAAATTATTGTTATTGGACCAAGTTTCAGGGTAGCCACCATTTAACTGTACCCCCAATATTCGGTGTTTGGAACACGCTTTTCCAACCGAATTGGCTGTAATTTGGTATTTTGGGTTCTCATTGTGTATCACTGTGCCAAAAATGATTAATATTGATCCAAGTTTCAGGGTAGGCCCCATATAACGGTACGCCCCAATGTTCGGTATTTTGAGGATTTTGGACACGTTTTCCAACCGAATTGTCTGCAATTTGGTATTTGGGGTTCTCATTGTGTAGCACATCTCCGTACCAAAAATTATCAATATTGATCCAAGTTTCAGGGTATCCACCACATAACGGGGGCTATCCTGTTTTGTTGACCTCAATGATGATGAATCTATATTTTTTTATCTCACTGCATAAACAATTTTTAAATAAGCTCGTGGTTTTTGCAGGCATTGCCCTCAGGCTCCCCATATATCATTCGTATATATTTAGTATAATTGTAATAATTATTAATAAATAATATTTATACATATTCATGTTCATAAATAAAAAACCAGTGAGTAAAGTAGTAAAGTCGGACTGGGCCGACTATATGATACCCTTCACCACTTTGGGTATGTTGTACATATATCCTAACAATTGCATGTCTATGTTCCCTCTTTCTCCAACCTATCCTAACTTTAATTTAATTTGAGCAGATTTAGAGCCATCTGCGTAACATGGGGAAAATTTATGGAAAACGCTTAATAGCAAAATTGATACACGCTATTCGGTACGCCGCGTTGTTAAAAATATAATGTATATGTGGGAGCTATATCTAAATCTGAACCGATTTTCACAAAAATTAACACACATCTTTCTAGACTTAATTCAGTACGCTATGCCAAATGTTGTGCAAATCAAAGGATATATATAGGGACCTTGGGACACCATTTACATAAAATCGGACGAAAACATATATGGGAGATATGTCGAAATCTAAACCGATTTTCCCGAAACTCACTTCTCATCATTCTAGACTGAATTCAGTACGCTATGCCAAATTTCGTGCAAATCGAAGGATATAAAGGGACTTTGGTGTACTATTTAACTAAAATCGGACGAAAATATATATGAGAGCTATATCTAAATCTCAACCGATTTTCACGAAATTTAACACACATCGTTCTAGACTTAATTCAGCAAGCTATGTGAAATTTCGTGCAAATCGAAGGATACAAAGGGACTTTGGTGCACTATTTACCGAAAATCGCACGAAAATATATATGGGAGCTATATCTAAATCTGAACCGATTTCCACGAAATTTAACACACATCGTTTTAGGCTTAATTCAGTACGCTGTGCCAAATTTCGGGCAAATCGAAGGATATATAGGGACTTTAGTGGACTATTTAACTAAAATCGGGCGAAACTCTATATGGGAGCTATATCGAAATCTGAACCGATTTTCACGAAACTTTGCACACATCATTCTAGACCTAATTCATTACGCTGTACCAAATTTCGTGCAAATCGATTCATAAATGCGACCTGTACTTTGTTTACAATATAACATGGACAGACGGACGGACATGCATATATATATATATATATACATTTTCGTATTATTAATTTTTAAGTTTAACAAATTACCAATTATTTGTTTTTTGTGTAAAAAAATGTGTTAAAATCATCAATCAATTCGCCGCATGTGAAAATATACTAAACATCCTAAAAGTATGCAACACAATTTATAAAACCTCATCTCATCATTTTGTGCTTGGCTTTGCTCCCATCAGAAAAACATTCATTGTGTGTGTGTGTGTCATTCCATATGAATGGGAGTGGATTGAAATGACATATGGTATAACCTTGGCTTGAAAATGAATTATATTTTAAATTAATTTCAATAAATTTTGAATTCTTGAAACCCCTTCCAGCAAGTCCACATCCATAATGACTACTCACAACGTCGCACGTACAATGACATTGCCCTCTTGGAATTGGAACAACCTGTAACATTTAGCGATTTAATTTATCCGGTATGTTTGTATACAGATATAGCTGATCCGAGTCAGGATATAAGATTGTGGGTATCCGGTTGGGGTACCATCAATACAGCAAGTAAGTGATAAATATATAACCTTCAAAACAACAGATTAAAAATGTATATTATGGCATCTCTTCCAGCTCGTGCCTTTTCCAATATCCTGCTAAAGGCCCCCTTGTTTGTAACACCCCTCGAGAAATGCAACGCCAGTTTTGTGGATTATGGTCTTACACGCCAAATTCAAGATGGTATTATTAGCACACAATTGTGTGCCGAAGATAAGGATCAATTGAAGGATGCATGTCAGGGTGATTCAGGTGGTCCATTGGTATTAGTTGTGGATGGTGGGTTTGAGAAGAAAATATTTCATAAGGAATTTAATTTATTATTTTTCGTGATTTTATTTTCTAGAATCTTTAAAAAGTTATAAAATAGTCGGTGTGGTCTCAGCCGGTTTTGGCTGTGCCAACACCACACCTGGTCTCTATACCAGAGTAGCTGCCTTTTTGGATTATATCGAACAAATTGTATGGCCAAATGGTGGTGACTGATATCGGCCTGTGTGCATATAACCAAAGATATATAAAAAACAAACAATTTTGTATTTAAGGCTTGTCTTTTTCGTTAAAAAATATATTTTTCTATATAAAATAAATAAATAATAATAATAATAAAATTAAAGAAAATATATGTTGCTTAATTTATAACATAATTATTTTATAGAAACCTAGCTTATGGAGGACCCAGGGTCTACTGGCAATATTCGTCGTGTGTTAAAAACTATTTTGTATGCAGAAAACTTCTTGAAGGGCCTTCTGTCAACAGAACATCTTCAACACTTTGTAAGGGTTCAGGCAATATAACATAACCTGAAAGATTACCTAAAATATTGGATTTTGGATTTTTTTTAACAATTATTTTTTATAGTCCGTCATAGTCGTGGATTTAAAAAAAAATGAAAACACCATAATATGCGTGGATTTTTAAAAATTATTTTTTAAAAGACTATCACAGGCGTGGATTTTTAAAAATTATTTTCTTCAAGGACTATCACAGGCGTGGATTTTTTAAAAATTATTTTTTAAACGACTATCACAGGCGTGGATTTTTAAAAATGATTTTTTAAAAGACTATCACAGGCGTGGATTTTTAAAAAAAAATTATTTTTTAAAAGACTATCACAGGCGTGGATTTTAAAAAAAATTTTTTTATAAAAGACTATCACAGGCGTGGATTTTTAAAAAATTATTTTTTAAACGACTATCACAGGCGTGGATTTTTAAAAATTATTTTTTAAAAGACTATCACAGGCGTGGATTTTTAAAAATTTTTTATTAAAAGACAATCACAGGCGTGGATTTTTAAAAAATTATTTTTTAAAAGACTATCACAGACTATTTTTAAATATTTTTTTAAAAGACTATCACAGGCGTGGATTTTTAAAAATTATTTTACTAGGGTAGCGGTCATATGTTGTTTCTAGGCGCCCATAAAATATATTCTTGTCTTCTGTCGGAACATGGACTGATGTAGAAGAACTTAACTTTTATTCGCTCATTTACTGGAGTGAATCTGGATACAAGGTATTTTTTACCTGATAAGACTGGGTTTTGTCATGAACCTAAACTGAAATGCCGTGGCGTTTATTCCAAGGCATGGGGTCAGATTGGAACCAGACGCTAAATTATACCCACTTCGGTTGGAAAATGCTCCTCTAGGTCAATGTCAAAACTTGGGTGAATTGGCTGTAATTTGGTATTTTGGGTTCTCCTGGTTGGGTTCTCCTGGTCTCCGCACCAAAAATGCTTAATATTGACCCAAGATTCAGGGTAGCCCCCATAAAACTGTAGCCCCGCAATATTCGGTATTTTGGACACGTTTTCCAAACGAATTTGCTGTAATTTACAGTTTTTGTTCTCAATGTAGTCCCCATATAGGGGTACCCCGTGGATTTTGTAAAAATTATTTTTTTAATAGACCATCATAGAAGATATCCTAAAAAGACTTACAACAATTGGGAAACTCTTGAATGCTCTTGTACCAAATGAAGGCGTATATACTTCCATTAGAGGCCTCCGGAAAAGACCTATTCCCTATTAAATTCCTCTTGAAATCTCTTTAGGGGACTTGTATCTATGGAAGTCCTGAATAACTCCTGAAATAAATAGCCTTTTATCACCAGAAGAGGACCTCTTCAAGTGCCATCTTATGCTGATGGGTATTTTTTCTATCGAAGTTCTCTCGTAGTTTCATTTACATGTAAAGCGACCTCTTGAAGGGCATCATATATTTGGAAAACCTTTTAATATGCCTTATTCGAATAGAAGACCTCTTGACTTGTCTCCTATTTATAGAAGATCTCTGAAAGAACCTTTATCGATTGGTGACGTTCGGAAGGGTTTTACCAATATACGACATATTGAGACGTCTTCTACATAAGTATTCCTCTATCTATAAAACTCCTTCCTTCTGAATACCCCTGGAAGGGTATTATATAGAATATAGTCTTTCTCAAGGATCTCCTATTAACAGAAAAAGATCTTCTAAAGGGGGTTCTATCCTAAACAGACTTGCAACAATTGGAATACTCTTGCTCTTGTACCAAATGAAGACGTATATACTTCCAATGGAGGCCTCCGGAAAAGACATATACCCTATTTAATTCCCCTTGAAATCTCTTTAGGGGACCTGTATCTATGGAAACGTCGAATAACTTCTAAAATAAATAGCCTTTTATGACCAGAAGAGGACCTCTTCAAGGGTCATCTTATGCTGATGGGTATTTTTTCTATAGAAGTTCTATCGTAGTATCATTTACATATAAAGCGACTTCTTGAAGGGCATCATATATTTAGAAGACCCTTTAAGAGGTCTTATTCGAATAGAAGACCTATTGACTTGTCTCCTATTTATAGAAGATCTCTGAAAAAAAACCTTTTTCGATTGGAGACGTCCGGAAGGGTTTTACCAATAGACGAAATATTGAGACGCCTTCTATATATGTAGGGGAGAGGGGGGCACCTTTGAACACTTTTTGCTTTCAAGCCTTATACAATTTTTTATTTTATAATTTTTGGTTTCTTATAAATTTTAACTAATAGGTACATATGTAACCTTTAAAATGAATATACATATGACATACTATAAGCTTGATAAATATATTTTATTACTGTTTTAATGGACGAACTCAAAGTGTTCAAAACATTTTTGAACGACATGGTTTTTTACAGTGTTTATGTTAAAATATGTATGTATTTTATTCATACATATAAGAAATTAATTAATTCAATAAAAAATATATAAAAATGTTCAAAATTTAAAAATTGAGATCAAAAGTTATTAAAATATAAAATGACTTAAAAACAAAAAAATAATATGGTGAAAAATACAGTTAATTTCGTAATCTTATTAGCCCATTTGAAGAAATCGAAACCAAAAGTTAAAAACTCCTTTTTTACTCGAGTTTAATGGGCATGTTCAAAGGTGCCCCACCCATGGCATTTTACGGAAATTTAAAATAACTTTTTTTGTAATAAATATATATGAAAGAAATTACATTAGTTATGTTTGAAATGATAGGTGGAATGCAAAAAATTTGTTTGACGAAAGAAAACTATCACATAATTCTTCCTGCGCCCTTACAACGAAATGAATAAAAGTTTACAATGACACTGAGAAAACATGGTCACCCATGCACAATTTTTCGACAACTGAAAAAGCAAGCCAAAGTGGTTTACGCATATAGAGAACAAGATTGCTATATTCAAAAATGTGTTTGCGGGTCGGAAAAATATTAAACCAAGATTTTATGAGCGCTGTTCAAAGGTGCCCCACGTTCAAAGGTGCCCCCTCTCCCCTACATATATTGAAGGTTCCTCTATCTGTATAACTCTTTCTGAGAGGCGTTCTATCTATATCGCAACACCTCTGGAAGGGTATTCTATATATTGAAGTCTTTCTTAAGGATCTCCTATTAACAGAAGAAGATCTACTAAAGAGGGTTCTATCAACAGAAGAAGACCTCCTGCTGAATAACACCTGAAAGGGCTTTCTATTGTAGAAGAAATCCTGAAAAGACGTTCATATATAGGGAAATACCTTAAGGGGTTTCTGTTCTTTCTCAAGGATCTCTTATTAACGCAAGAAGATCTACTAAAGAGGGTTCTATTAACAGAAGAAGACCTCCTGCTGAATAACACCTGAAAGGGCATTCTATTGTAGAAGAACTTCTGAAAAGTCCTTTCATCTATAGGAAAATACATGAAGGGTTTTCTTAGAGGGTATGTAAGGGACCATGGTGATGTGTTTTCCACTATAGGACCCCCCTTGGTTTGTAGAAGATCTATATATAACTGATCCGTAGAAAGGTTTACCAGAACTTCCAAAAAATCTTCCTCTGAAAGAACTTCGAAAAAATATAATTTAAAACCAGTGATCGGAGCAGTATAGTCGGACGGGGCCGACCATATGATACTCTAGACAACTACCACGAAAATCTAACTTTCTGCTGTTCTATATTCTGAGTCTGGGCAATATTTCGCGATATTTCCCCTCCTTGACCGACTAGAGGTCAACAAATATTACTAACATTCAGTACAGTATTTCTAATTACTTGTCCACATTCCCTTCACCGTAGCTTATATTGTGATGTTCGGCTTTCAACTGTGGCCTATAGATCGACTCGAAAAAACACATAGAATTAAGTTTTCGGTCCACTTCCCCAAATTTTATTATCTGATCATCTCCGAAAATTATAGGCGTTGTCCTTGACCATACCTGGATCCTCATAGAAAATGTCTAAGCGATCAGCTCTATATTTCCGCCCTCTAGTGTGGTAATGGGCTACTAAATAATATCTGAATACGTAAGCACCTGTATATATTTGAGAGTAACTCCCACATCGGAGTACATGCAGTCATGTATCAATTTGAAGGTCAACAACTCCTATTGAATATACTATCAACTTCTCGGGTATATGTCCTTCAGGAGCAAGTATATACGCCCCAGAATAAAAATTTTGTAATTTTTCACACAAAAGTCAGGGTCAATTTGACCCGCTAAATATTGACCGATCTTTATCAAAACAGACATGCTTATTCTAAGACCCGATCCCCTTCACAATGTAAAGTTTCATGATGTTCGGACAATAACTGTCTCCTCTGGAGCGACCAGAAAAACCGACAAAAATTTAGTATTTGGTCCATTTCATCCCCTAAAAATTTACCGATATTTACCAAAAAGAATAGGGGTCTTCATTGGTCAGAACCCAGCCTATATCGTGTTTACAAATTATAATGGACAGACGGACGGACGGACACACATGTCTAGATCGACTCAGCTAGTCGATATATGACGATCGGTATACTTAAAGGTGGGTCTAGGACCAATATTTCGCGGCGTTGACAACATCGTTGTGTAGGGTATAAAGATTTACAAACCGACCAAACTTCGAAATGTTTAAAAAAAATCTACGCATTGGCAGAATTTCGAAAATACAGCTATTAAAAATCCTTGCCCTGACAGAACTCAAAAAAGCAAATAAAAAATCCAGCCACTCCTAGAACTTCGAAAACAATGTCCTCATTTTTTTAAAATAATCCAGGCATTGAAATTCGAAAATATTTTTAAATTACTTGCAGAAATTTGAAAAAAAAAATTAAAAAAATCTTCCACGACAAAAGAAAAAAATAAAATCAACGCACTGACAAAACTTAAAAAAAAAAATATAAAAAATCCTTGCAACTGCAGAACTCGGAAAAAATATGTAGAAAAATACTCCTGACACTGATAGAACTTAGAATTTTATTTTTAATCTATATATAATCTTCGAAAAAAAAATATTTATTCAGAGGTCCAGCATATAGATGTTGAAGGGCCTTGAGTTTTTAGATAGGTCTAATTATTATTAATTGTGTTCATGATCCTAATTATTGTTTTTTGTTTGCTTTGTTGTTGTTGTTTTTTTTTTTAATTTCAGTTAGTACACATTCATCCCGAATACCATCCATCACGGACCTACAATGACATTGCAATTGTGGAATTACAACAAGCCGTGTCCTATACTGAATTTGTATATCCCATATGTCTACATGCAAATATTACGGATCCCATAGGCTTGGCCTATGTTACCGGATGGGGACTTACAAATAGTTTAAGTAAGCTTAAGAACCCGAAAAAAATTAAAAACGGATAATTATTTTAATGTAAAATATTTATTTGGCAGCCAAAACCAGATCCTCCGTTCTGTTAAGTACCAAATTGGATATTGTACCGTTGCAGAAGTGTCGAGAGGCATTCGTTGGTTATGATTTGCGTGGCATACGAGAGGGTATACAAGAAACGCAAATTTGTGCTCACGACAGTCAATTGATGAAGGATTCGTGTAAGGGAGATTCAGGTGGACCACTATTTTTGGCATTGGATTGTAAGTATTGTATAATAATAATTTTTATTAAATATTTTATTCGATTACTAATTTTTATTACAGTAACAATCAAATATTACAGTTTGATTGGCATTGTATCGGCTGGTGAAGATTGTGGCAGCAGTACTCCCGGAATTTACACCAGGGTGGCTTCATATATGGATTATATCGAAAGTATTGTGTGGCCAAATGGTTTCAAGTAATTGAGAGATGGGATAATTTCGTAAAATATCAATATTTGTAAACGCTTTTGCGAAATCCATACAAATATATTTACATAAATACTTTATGGTATTTTTTGCAAAATAAACAAAATTGCTAATTCATTTTTCCGGCGTTTCGTCACTTTTTTTGCGACTTTTACAATTTTTAAAGGCGAACATACAAACAACTATGTTGTCAGGGTATTATAGCTTTGTGCAGCCCCAAAAGTATACCAATCGTAATATTTCGACTAGCTGATCCGATCTAGACATGTGTGTCCGTCCGTTCGTCTGTCCATTATAATTTGTAAACCCAATACAGGCCACAGTTATGGACCAATCTTCACGAAATTTTGCATGTAGGAAGGGTTCTGGCCAATGAAGACCCCTATTGTTTTTGGTAAAGATCGGTTAATATTTAGGGGATGAAATGGACCAAATACTAAATTTTTGTCCGATTTTATGGTCGCTCCAGAGGCCGCAATTATGGCCCAAACATCGCGAATTTTTACAGGGAGAAGGAGATAGGGAAAAAGAATAAGCATGCCTGTTTTGATAAAGATTGATCAATATTTAGCGGGTCAAATGGACCCAGTGTGGTAACCCATTGCCACACTGGATGGCGGAAATGTAGCGCTGTTCGCTTTTATATGTTTCATGAGGTCCCAGTTATGGTCAAGGACAACGGTTATAATTTTCGGTGATGATCAGATAATAGGATAAAGTGGACCGAAAACTTAATTTTTTTCTGTAATGTGGAGTCGATCTATAGGCCACAATTGATAGCCGAACTTCACAACACAAAGGGTGAAGGGAATCTGGACAAGTAATTAGAAAGGCTGTGAATATTAGTAATATTTGCGAAATATTGCTCAGAACATAAAATCACAGAAAGTTAGACTTTTGTGGATGTTGTGTAGGGTATCATATGGTCGGCCCCGTCCGACTATACTGCTCCGATCACTGGCTTACATTTAAAAAACTTACTTAATTACTTAGCTGGATTATGACAGAACTTTTCGAAAAGTTCACTTCCACTTCATTTTTCCATCTAATTTGTGGCCTTCCCCTTCTGCGTGAACCATAACATGGATCGCTTTTATATGCCTTTTGTGCTGGGGCATCCTCATTCATTCTCACAACATGACCAAGCTACCGAAGTCGCTGCAGCTCAATACGTTTGACAATGTCGATGTCCCTATTCTCGTATTGTACAACTCATGGTTCATTCGGCGGCGATATACGCTGTCAACGCAGATCGGCCCATAGATCTTTCGAATAATTTTTCTCTCAAACTCTTCAAGAGATGCCTCATCTGCTTGCGTAAGTACTCATGTTTCAGATCCATACACAAGCAGCGTCTTGCAGAGTGTGAGTTTGATCTGGCGGGAGGTTGCCTTGTTTCTAAACTGCTTCCTTAGATCACAATAGCATCTGTTGGCCAACATTATACTTCACCGAATTTCAAAACTGATATCGTTAGTTTTATTTATGGCGATATCAAGGTATATATAATCTCTGAATACCTCGAAGCTGTAGTTCCCAAGTTCCACAGTTGGTCTGAGTCTACTGGAAGTCTTGCGTGTTGATGCCATCAGTTTGGTATTTTCGCAGACTCCTTTTCAATTTGTTCAAAGGTGGATGTTACCGCTCGCAATGTTCGACCCATTATATCGATGTCAACGGCGTAGGTGAGTAACATGTGTTGATCACCTTTGCCTCTCGTATTACCTTCCCCAGTAGGAGGTTAAAAAGGTCATACGACAAACTGTCACCTTGTCTGAATCCTCGTTCGGTTTTAAAGGGCTCCGAGAGATGCTGATCTTGTGCCAGTTAAGGTTATCCTGCATAGCCGTATTAATTTTGCAGGTATGCCGAACGCAGACGTGGCTTTAAATACCTCTGAACGGATAGGGCTGACTAATGTAGCTTTATGGTTGACGAATAGGTGCAATGTGTCGATCTGTTTTTCGTGGGTCTTTTTAAGGATTTTGCGTATAGTGAAAATCTGGTCAATGGTGGTCTGAAGCCGCATTGGTATGGTATAAAAATGTCATTGACCAATGGCTTCAGTCGTTCACACATCACGCTGGCTAGCATATTATATGCGATAGGAAGGAGACTTATTCCTCTATAGTTGGCACATATAGTCTTGTCTCCATTTTTTGTGCACGGGTCACTGGATGCTGAGGTCGATTAATTGCTACTCTGATCTCATCTTGGCTAGGTGGTATGCCGTCATCTTTTATTGGTTCTGGGGTATCTTCTTCACCTATTTGATACCAGAAGCTTTTCAAAATGCTCCTTCCAGATCCTCAACACGCTGTCTGTATCTGTTACCAGGTTTCCTTCTTCATCTCTAGAGGAGGATGCGCCTGCACTAAAACCTTCGGTTTGGTGTTTCACTCGTTGGTAACATTTCCGGACTTCGTTCTGACTCCTGTACATCTCGATTTGCTCCCGCTCACGTTTTTCTTGCCGTTTCTTCTTTTTCTGAAAAAAACGTTCCCCATCTCGATCGATTTGATTTCTTGTTGTTCGATCGGGAGAAATCCATGTGACCTTGTGTATATCTAGTGCTGCTCACTACCATGTTTTTTTATACGTTTGCGGTGTTCATCCACATAAGGTGGGTTTGGTTGTTGTTGGCACTTCATAGTAGAAGTTTTTTTTCCGAGTGTGGGCAACTAACCCGACGCCTCAACCCATTATTTTTAGTTCTTATGAGTGAACTCGCTGCACATATCACCTCACTATTTCAACGGTTGATAAAAAAAGCTACCTCTGGTGACACGCGGGGACGTCAGTGTCCATAATTGAGATGAAGGACAAATACCCGAGAAGTTGGATGTGGGAGTTAAACCTTAATATTTATAGGTGCTTACGAATATTATTTATTAGAGGAAATTAGAGGACAGAAATATAGCGCTGATCGCTTTCAAATTTTCTAAGAGGTTCCAGTTATGGCCAAGGACGGTGATGATCACATACAAAATTTGGCATGCAGTGGACCGAAAACTTAATTTTTTGTGTTTTTATCGAGTCTATCTATAGGCCGCAAGCCGAATATCACAACACAACCCACGGTGAAGGGAATCTGGATAAGTAATTAGAAGGGCTGTACTGAATATTGGGAATATTCGGAAAATATGTCAGTGTAAGGAAGAGGTGCTGTTGATCTCTAATCGGTCAAGAGGGTGCAAATATCAGGAAATATAGCCCAGGCTCGAAATAAACATCCACAGAAAGTTAGAGTTCCGTGGTATTTGTGTAGGGTATCGTATGGTCGGCCACGTCCCACTATACTGCTCCGCTCACTGTTTTTTTTTACTGCGAAGTGTCATAAGCATAAATCTGAAATTGTTTCATCGATACTTTACGAGAAATCTATCAGTACAGTCATTTGCCGAAAAATAATGGATTTCTTTTTCCCCTACCTAACCTTAACTTTGATCGCGAATTCCAGAAAATTTAACATTGTCACATTTTTATGCAGTAATTTCACTTACGTGCACGTTAGTAAAGGTAGGACATTTCAGAATTTTTAGACCTGTGCTTTAAAGAAATTAAGCATTTAATTCCCAGCTTTCGTCATTATCAACATTTGCTGTCCTCTTATCTCAAATCGTAGCAGAATTCGCAAATTTTAGCAGAGACAAAATAAATGATCTCACAGTGTCATTAGAGACGTTGATAGAAGCGGTGTGACATTCATCCGTTGGAATTTCAAATGATCATATAATAAATAATACAAAAATAAAGAAAAATCCCATAATAAAAATCAATAATAGGTGTGTTCCTGAACGTGAATTAATTGTAAAAAGTGCAAAAAAAAAAAAACATTTGTAAAAAAATTAATAGTAAACTACATAACAGCAAACAAAACGAAATTATAAAAAAAATTCCATGTTCAGAAATATAAAAATTAGATAAAAATCTGATGAAACTATATTCAATGCTGGCATAGGCAAAAATAAGTGCAAAACTAGCGCAATCATTTGTATTGGAATGTTCGTTAACATAAACGTACTCCGTACGTACGACCATGTATTGTTGGAACTAACTCGTGAAAATTTCGTGGACCGCCAGATCAAACTCACACTCTACAAGACGCTGATACTACACGTGCTGGTATGTGGATCTGTGTGTTTGAGGGAAACAAATTGAATATCGTATCATGGGAAATATATCATCTGTACACGGAAATTGTCGGAAGTATCCATGTTATGCGAATGGATAAGGTTGCCTCAGCTCAAAAGGCATAGAAAAGCAAGAATTTTATGGTAATAAAAAATCGGAGATAATATCTCAAAACAGGCTGGTTTATACATCTGAAGAATGCGTACTTACGCCAGTACATGAGAGTCGAATGAACTATGAGCTATATCATCCGTATACAATATAGTCAGACGTATCGAGTTGCAGCGACTGCTGGAGCTAGGTTGTGCGAAAGGACGAGGATGTCTGACAAGTAGAATATAAAAGCGAGCCTACAGATGGTTCACGCAGATGGGGAAGACCAAGAATTCGATGGAAAGGTAAAGTGGATGTAAATATTTCGAAGCATGAGTACACGCGAAATCACATGAGTCAGCTCTTGGATAATTTGAGAGAAAAATTCTCCGAATGATCTATGGGCCAATCTGCGTCGACAGTGAATATCGGCGTGGAACGAAACACGATCTATACCATCTGTGCACGGACATCAACGCAGTCAGACGTATCGAGCAGCAGCGAATGCGGTTGCTAGGCCATGGCTCAAAAGGCATAGATATAAAATCGATTCTACTAAAGATTCACGCAGGTAAAGAAGCCAAGAATTCGATGGAAAGAAAAACTGAAAGGTAATATCTCGAATACCTTTTTTATGTTCGGCGTATAAAAAAAATGAACTACAGGAACAAAAAAACTGGATTTAGTTTCTTTATTATACCCTACACAACTATGTTGTCAGGGTATTATTGCTTTGTGCAGCCCCAAAAGTTTGTAACGCCGCGAAATATTGGTCCTAGACCAACCTTTAAGTATACCGATCGTCATATCTCGACTAGCTAAGTCGATCTAGACATGTGTGTCCGTCCGTCTGTCCATTATAATTTGTAAACACGATACAGGCCACAGTTATGGACCAATCTTCATGAAATTTTGCATGTAGGATGGGTTCTGGCCAATGAAGACCCCTATTGTTTTTGGGAAAGATCGATTAATATTTAGGGGATGAAATGGACCAAATACTAAATTTTTGTCGGTTTTTCTGGTCGCTCCAGAGGCCGCAATTATGGCCCAAACATCGCGATTTTTTTTGGAGAAGGGGATCAGGCCAAAGAATAAACATGCCTGTTTTCATAAAGATCGGTCAATATTTAGTGGGTCAAATGGACCCTGACTTTTGTGTGAAAAATGACAAAATATTTACCCCTGAAGGACATAGACCCGAGAAGTTTATATTATATCCAAGAGGAGTGGTTGACCTTTAAATTGATACCAATTATATTGTTGTATGTGCTCGGATGTGGGAGTTACACCTAAATATTTACAGGTATCTCCGTATTCGTATATTATTTAGTAACCCATTATAACTCTAGAGAGCGGAACTATAGCGCTGATCGCTTTGAAATGTTCCATGAGGTTCCAGTTATGGTCAAGGACAACGCCTATAATTTTCGGTGTTGATCAGATAATAATTTTGGAATGAAGTGGACCGAAAACTTATTTTTTTGTGTTATTATCGAGTCGATCTATAGACCGCAAATTAAAGCCTGTTTACCACTAATCGGGCAAGAGGTGCAAATATCACGAATTATTGCCCAGGCTCGGAATATACATCCGCAGAAAATTTGAGTTCCGTGGTAGTTGTGTAGGGTATCGTATGGTCGGCCCCGTCCGACTATACTGCTACGCTCACTGGTTGAAATATGTAGTTTCAATGAACCAGTTCATTCTGGAACGACCCAACTCTATTTTACCTACTAATAAAAAAAACTTTGATTATGGGTCTTCGAATACGAACCAAATCCAAAGTAATTCAGTTGAAGAAATGCTTTCAAGCTAATGGTAGCCGGTTTCTTCGACAAAACTCAGTCATGTGGCGGTCAATTCTGCCTGATGTGTTCAGAGTTCCATGACAATGCGGGCACTCATTAACTCAGATATAAAAATCGACTTCAACTTTTAGAATTTTTCAAAATAAAAAGTCGATTAATCGATTCACATATCCCTAACAGCATATGTTACTCGCTTATGCGGATTACAGCGACATAATGGGTCGAACATTGCGAGTGGGATCTGGCAGTAAAAGGGGATAAATCCAAGCTGATCGTATCAACGCGCAAGACGACCAGTAGACTCACACTAGCTGTGGATCTTGAAAACTACAGGACAGGTGAGATAGTCCGAGTTTATCTAAACAAATGAAATCTGTTTCTACATTCGAAGGAGGATTATATTGACCAACAGATGCTACGATGGTCTAAATAAGCAATTCAGAAACAAGGTCCACTCTCGCCTTATCCAAAACACACACCCTAAAACACGCTGATACTATCAGTGCTGCTATGTGGATCTAAAGCACAGTCGGGCGAAGCACCGCACGCGTGCTCTCTCGCGAGCGTAAATATCACTATTCTCTCACGCACATTCAACTGAACCAATTGAAAAACCAAAATTGTGTTCTCACGCACTTCTCTTTGTGTGTGCGTCAATGGTTTTTCAATTGGTTCAGTTGAATGCGTGAGAGAATAGTGATATTTACTCTCGCGAGAGTGCGCGCGCCCGACTATGATCTGAAGCAGACTCGGGCAGAGAATAACAAATTTGCGTTGCGTTGTCGATGTGTGTGTGTGTCAATGCCCTGTCGTACATTCAACTAACTTTAGACTAATTGAAAACTAACTTTTTTTCAATTAGTAGTGGTTGATAAATCGACTTTTTTACCTGTAACCAACTGACTATTTTAACATTGTGATGTCCTACGAAGTAGTCAATTGTCCGAATTTGCACTACTTTCAGTTAACTTTATAGTCAGTTATCCAGCAGTTAACTTATAGTTAACTTTTTGCAGTTAGCTATATATCTACTTGTTTAAATACGCTTTCAGTTAATTTTGTTTTAAACTAACTATTTGTAAGTCAAATTGTAGTCAGAGAAAAGTTAGTTTTTTGCACGTTAGGTGAAAAGCCACTATTTGTATCTTGCTGAAATAAAACGAGGTTTAAAAAATTTACATTATTATAAAACAAAAAATTATTAATATAACAAAACATAACAAGGATCACATCATTTATCACAAAGATTTTTATAAATTATTTAAACATTTGCGGTTTAATAATAATAATAAAAATAAAATAATATTAGTTTTTGGTTTTAAAAATCTTAGGAATGGAAAAAATTAGTTTGCACATTTGTATTTTAAATAAAAAAATTGTTAAAAATATTAAATTAATTATTATATTGAGGGCAAACGTCCCCTCAATATTGTTTTCATTGTATTTATCTGTGGAGTAAAAAGAAATCATTTAATGGATACATAAACAAAATCAGAAATGTTATTAGGAAACTTACATAGTCGTTACGATTATTTTCCGCCTCAAATGTCGTTTACTCGCACTTCTCATGTTTCTTTTTTTCTTCTGTATTAAAAAAAATTGTGTGTTCAAAGCACATTACATTTAACTACATTATTTATTACATTTAATTAAAAACTCACTGTAAAACTTTAGATAAAATCACAAAACTTTATTCACAAACAAACAAACGACGTTCAATCTACAAATTAAACGCGGGATTTGTTGTTTACAAAATTACCCTTCCAAGGCGTACATTAAAATTTACGTCGTTTAAATTGAACGGCGTTGGTGGCCGATCGCCGATATTTTCATACATTTTTTTGCATTGCGTAGTAGTGGCTTTGTAGCCAGTCTATACCAGCTAACATTAAATTGGTTTTTTTTGTAGTTAGCTACTCATTTGACGACAGGGTGGGTTTTCAGTTGTTTCAATTGAAAGGCATGAGAGTATGCTGTTATTTACTTTCGCGAGAGAGCACGCGTGCTGGGTTTTGCCTGATGTGGATCTGAAGCATGATTATTTGCGCAAGCAGGTAAAGTAACTGTTATAGTGTTTGAGAAAAAAATTCTCCGAATGATCTACACAGGCCACAAGATCAGCAGTTAAAGTCGAAACGACCTTACAGAGCCCTTTAAAGGCAAACAGAAATGGCACTCTGTACACCAAACACCTACGCCAATGACATCGAAATAAGGGGTCGAACATTGCGAACGTTACACCACAACATTTGCCTAATGAAACACATAAGAGGACTTCAGGACTGGCATGTTAAGTTGGCTTTGATAAATGTAAAAAAAAATGAAGGAGAACGGCACCCAAAATCAAGTTTGACTCCGATATTCCTTTATAAATTAACATGTCAAGCCTGAATCCTTGTATGTGTACCGTTCGAACATTGCGAACGGTAATTGTCCCGTGGGAAAAGATTGAAAAGGTAAATGGCGATAAGTCCGAGCTGACACTCAAACTAACGAAATCGGGATAAATGTAAAGCTGTGTTTCAAACGATTTTAATCAAAGCGTTTAAATTCGAACTGATGTTAACCAAATCTACACATATGGTACCCCTAATTTTAATATCCTTTAATAATGTTCAAAAACATGACTCATTTGTAAAGATCCACTCAAAAAACATTAAAATAACTTTGAACCCTTAAAAAAACTACTCAAAATAAATTATTCCATCATCGTACTGGAACACAGCTATTATAAATGATTAATTACAAAGGTGTTGATATTTTTTTTGCGCTCAAATGTTGTGCATTAAAATTGTGAACATGTTTAGACAAAAAATGCATATATAAACAATTAAAATAGTCTATAAGACAGCTTGACAGCGATCACATCAAGAGATTCATTATTTCAAATGTTTTGTATGAAAATACCCAAAATTAAAAAAAAATCCCATTAACAAGATTTGAAAAATGATATTGACGACAATCGCAATTGTACTGCTACTGCAGCAGATGCCACAAATAAAGGCGGCTTACGGTAAGTATATATTTATATTTTATATACATATAATTAATTAGTATTATTTATTGTTATTACGTTTTTTTTAAGAAAATGATCCTTGCGAAACAAAAAATTCATTAGGCGTTTGTAGAACCTGGTCAGCTTGTCCCGTCATAAGGACACTAATTCAACGAGGAGAGTACACAACCGAAGAGGTTGTAAGATGTGGTTTTACAATTCGTGAAGAAATAATATGTTGTCCATTTGGGAGAATGGAAGAAATGATTATTGATGAATTGTCCACAACAACAACATCGAAAACCACCACAACAACAGAACCTCCATTAGCAATAGAAACTAGGTAAGTAAATAATTATTGGTACTCCTTAAAAAAAGACATTCATAAAATATTTATGTTTTGGGGAAAATTACTCTAAAAAAAGAAGATCCGACCTCAACAACAACGGCTCTATGTGGAACCGAGTACATCAACAAGCTATTTAATTAATTTTATAAGAAACGGACATTAAAAGGCGGATTATTGCACCCTTAATTCCACAACATCATGGGGTTGCAGAGGGGAGGAATATGATTTTTTTAAAAATACCCTGGTGTCAGAATATCGTCGCTAAGTAAACATCATGTCGACATGCCAGATTCATGGATTTGTTTCATGAAGAAAAGTAAGAGAACCTAGTTGAAATATATAATAATATTAATCAGAAGAATGTGTGTCCCGTTCACAAAAAAGGATGCAATACGCATATAAAGTTTTATATAGCGTGCTGTGTGAACAACTGAAGCCAATAGTCCATGACATTATTCGACCATTCTAATGCAAATCTACCATAGACCAGATACATTATGCCAAATCCTGGAAAATATCCACGAAAAACACATCGACACATTTCACCTATTCGTTGGTTATAAATCCGCATTTCGTTCTAAATTTTTGAAAGCTATGTCTGCGTTCGGCATTTCTGGAACATTGTAAGGCTCTGCAGAATAACTTTTACTGGCACAAGATCAGCAGTTGTAGTCGGAAAGACCTTTCGGAGCTCTTTAATACCGAATGACCGGCACCGACTTGCCCAGTACCCATTACATCGATATAATGGGTCTTAAATTGTCCTTGCAGTGCAAAAAGGAATGAAATTCCATACACCAAACATCTTGTTACTTGCTCACGCAGATGATATATGGATCTGGAGCATGGGTACTGGGCAAAAATATGAGATGGGCGTTCGAGAGAATTCCGAAATATCTATGGGTCATGTTGTGCAAATGGATGAGGATGCCCCAGCTCAAAAGACTTATAAAAGCGAGCCTACTGATGGTCCACGCAGGACGGAAGACCAACAACGATGGAAACATAAAGAGGAAGATAATATCTCGAAGTAGCTCTTGGAGTTTTTGAGAGAGAATTTCTCCGAAAGATCTAAGAGCCGATCTGCGTCGGCTTGACATTGATATAGGCCGAAGTATCGAGCTGCAGCGACTGCGGTGATTAGACAATGTTGTGCGAATGGATGGGGATGCCCCAGCTCAAAATGTGAGTGTTTACGCAAGATGGGAAGACCAAAATTCCATGGAGGGACAAAAATGGAAGATAATATTTCAAAACATGTTGATATATGGATTTGAAATATGGGGCCTTGGGCAAGCACATGAGGCAGCTCATTGAGAGAAAATTTATCCAAAAGATCTATGGGCCGATATGCGTAGACGGTGAAAATCGGCGTCGAATGAACCACGAGCTATACCATCTGTACACGGACATCGACACAGTCAGACGTATTGATCTTCAGCTACTGCCCCAGTATATAAAAGCGATGGTCCACACAGAAGTGAAAGGTCGAGAATTCGATGAAATGATCAAGAGGAAAAAAATATTTTTAAATATAGTCTTTAAAATTGGAAACACTGCGCAAAAGATCGACGAGCGTGGAAATCTATTTTAAAATTGGCTTATGGATGAAACGTTCTGTCTCGAGTCAACAAAGTATGGCTCAACCGATTAGAGCCAGAAAACGCATTAATTGTACTGGGAAACTAGGTCACCGGAAAACAATAACGATTTTAGAAGATCTTCGATGGGATCTGAAATGAGTTTTTTCAATTCCTGTCCAATTCTAGTTCCGAAAAAATCTTAAAAAAATCCACGCCTTGTGTTGAGGTCCCTAAAAAATCTTAAAAAAATCCATGCCTTGTGTTGGGGTCCCTAAAAAATCTTAAAAAAATCCACGCCTTGTTGTGGGGTCCCTAAAAAATCTTAAAAAAATCCACGCCTTGTGTTGGGGTCCCTAAAAAATCTTAAAAAAATCAACGCGTTGTGTTGGGGTCCCTAAAAAATTTTAAAAAAAATCCACGCCTTGTGTTGGTGTCCCTAAAAAATCTTTAAAAAAATCCACGCCTTGTGTTGGGATCCCTAAAAAATCTTTAACAAAATCCACGCCTTGTGTTGAGGTCTCTAAAAAATCCACGCCGCTTATATTGTTCCTTAAAAAAATGTTATCACGCCTTGGGTTGAGGTCTCTAAAAAATCCACGCCGCTTATATTGTTCCTTGAAAAAAATGTTTGACGCCTTGTGTTGGGGTCCCTAAAAAATCTTTAAAAATATCCACGGCTTGTGTTGGGGTACCTAAAAAATCATTAAAAATATCCACGCCTTGTGTTGAGGTCTCTAAATAATCCACGCCGCTGTTCCTTGAAACAAAATGTTTTCAAAATTTGTTTATATATTTTTTTAAATATTATTTATCTTCTACATATATATATTTACAGAAGTCTCAACAACCCACCTATAAGCCCATTAAATAGGTGGAGTCAATTTGGCAATGAATCAACCACCGATAGAAACCATACAGTAGTACCTAGTTTACCATTTCAATCTATATATAATTCGCCACCTACCCTCAGACCACCCCTGCTGTCCGGGAGGGAGAATAATATACCTATTTCACCAACACAACCCATGTACCGTTCACCCCCTACATCTAGTCCAAGGGGTTTAAACACAAAGCAATCAGTACCAGCCAACGAAAGGCCAGCTGTTCGAGGTAAATATATCATCCTCCTATATTTTTTATATCCTTTATAAATGTATATCTTTCGCTGTAGCTTGTAAGCGGATCCTGTCTAACCTAAAACCCAGTCTAGCTGAACATATTCTGGACGGCATACCTGCCGATTTAGGACAGTTGCCACACATGGCTGCAATTGATTATAGTAGTAAAAATAAGCGTCCTGGTTCCGTAAATATTCAATGTGCCGGAACTTTAATCGATGAGCGTTTTGTGTTGACAGCAGCCCATTGTGTTGCCCGAAGGGATATGATTCCGAAATTTGTCTATTTGGGTGTGGCGAATTTAACCGATCCCGAGGAAATGGAAATGGAAAAGAGGAAAATTAAGGTAGGAATGGAAAGAAAAAGAAAAAAGGGAAATCGAAGTAACAACACTAGGAGATCAATAGGCGGAATTTTTTAAACAATGAAGACCATAGGATATCGCCCATATATTTTAAGTAATAATTTTCCGAAGGACCATATATGAGGATTTTTTAAGTAAAATTTTTCCGAAGAACCGTAGAAGACTTTTTAAAGTAAACAATTTCCGAAGGACCAAGCGGGAATGTTTTAAAGAAATTGTTTTCCGATAGACCAAAGGTGAGAATATTTAAAATTTTTAAAAAATCCACGCTTATATTGGTCCTTGAAAAACCCACGAGTGTATTGGTTCTTGAAAAAATAGTCTTTAAAAAAATCCACGCCATTTGTGACCCTCGAAAAAATTTTCCTTAAAAAATCCACGCCATTTGTGACTCTTAAAAAAATATTCTTTAAGAAAATCCACGCCTTGTGTGACCCCAGAAAAAATATTGTTTAACAAATTTGCTTACCTTTCTCTTCCAGAACATTTACATTCACGATGATTATTCGCTGCTTCTAGTATATAACGATATTGCCCTATTGGAATTGGAGGAACCGGTAACCTTTAATGAATACATATATCCAGCTTGCCTACATACAGATTTAGATGATTTGAGTAGGAATACAGAGGTCATGGTATCTGGTTGGGGCACTATGACTGCTAGGGGTAAGTGCCAACTGTTATATTCAAAACTGTCACTCACCCACCCTTTCATATTTCTGGTACCCAATTTTAGGAAATGTATTTTCCAATATTTTACTAAAAGTTCCGCTAACCGTTACACCCATAAAAAAATGTCAGCGTGATTATAATAGATATGGGTTGGTGTGCCGACTTCAACATGGCATAAAAAGTACTCAGCTATGTGCCGAAGGTCGTCGGCGTGTGAGGGATGCTTGCAATGGTGATTCTGGTGGTCCTTTGGTTTCAGTTGGCGATAGTAAGTCGGCGGAATTTTGTTTTTGAAAAATTGAATTATAATTATTTTTTAATTTTTAGAATTACGCAATACCTATAATGTAATTGGTGTGGTCTCAGCCGGTTTTAGTTGTGGTGACAAGAGACCTGGTCTCTATACCAGAGTGGCAGCTTATTTGGACTATATCGAAAACATTGTATGGCCCAAGGATGCGGAAAACTGGCAAATGGGTTATGTTTGAATCAATCAATATTCTGTAATTTTTTTTCTAATACTTATTTTATTGTTCAATAAAAATCAACACATTTGGGAAATAGATCAATGAAAAAATTATTTTAAAAATCCACGCTGAAGGATAAAAAAATGTACTTTAAAAAATCAGGTCCCTGGGGCAAGAGTTGGATAGAAAAAAAATATTCTAAAAATCCACGCCTCTAGGCCTAGAGTTGGATATAAATTTAATATTCAGTAAACACATGTGACACATCGGGTTCTTATTTGGTACCCCCAAAATATGCAGATCTTAAGGATTTTGAACAAGTTTGAGAAAACTTTCTTTAAAGAATAGACGTTTGTATTGGCCCTTAAGAAAAAAAATCCTTAAAAATCCACGCTTGGTCTTTGAGCAAATATTGTTTAAAAAATCCACGCTTGGTCTTTGAGAAAATATTGTTTAAAAAATCCACAGCTAGACTTGAAAATCAATTAAAAATAATATAATAAATAATTATAAACCCCGAAAAACTCCTTAAAAAATGCAAACGAGAAATCAACCCCCCACCACCCACTCTACTATAACACTACCCTGCAAGCAAAAACTATCGCGGAAGTTACGTCGAAGTAACGTCAAGGCGATAGAAACAGTCGCGGAAGATAGTCGATTTCTTATCGCGGAAGTCACCTCCTTCGGGAAGAAATGAACCACGTCCGCGTCACTTCGAAGAAGTAACTTCTGCGTAACGTCTAGAAGTAACTTCCGCGATGCTACGCATATGACACGCATAAGTTACTTCTTGGAAGTGACGCGGAAGTGGTTCATTTTTTCCCGAAGGAGGTGACTTCCGCGATAAGAATGCGACTATCTTCCGCGACTGTTTCTATCGCCTTGACGTTACTTCGACTTAACTTCCGCGTCACTTCTAGTAGGCATAATATTATCAATATATCATTATTTATGTACTGAAACAACTTATTGATTAAAAAAATTAGCAATTTTCAACTTCTTTTATTTATTTTTTCACACACTCACATAAAAATAAATAAAAAATTCTGGTTTTTGTTTACGCTTTTTTAATTATTTAAATATCACACTATTGATACACACAGATCACTTTGAAAAATTAACATTAACTGAGTTGATTTATATGTTTTCTCCTCTAACTGTTTTTCAAGCTGATGAGAGACAATTTTGAAAGAGAGCAAATTGTTTTTGTAGCATTTGACCAATCTTCTTTTGTCTTCCCAGGCGTCACTCAGAAGTAACTCAAAGGCGATATAAAGTAGACAAGAACAGTTTTTTTTTGTAATTATACAAACTATCGCCTTTTATCCGAAAAGAAGTGACGCGGAAGTGACTTATTGGGCGAGGGAGTGAGAAACTCACTTCCAAATGCTTGCAGGGTATAATACGAAAGCACACAACAACGACAGTATTTGCTATGCACATTACTCCTCCCATTGTCACCCACTCCGTGGAGCATAACAATATCACAGTAAGAGACCAGAGAACGAAACACTGAGAGGAGAACAATTGCCCTCTCCTCTACTCAGTTCAATTCTCCCAGTTAACATCAGTATACTCTAACAACAACAAGCATTGTATGGCGCCTTTTTTGGGAAGTTGGAAAGAATATTCTGTTTCTTACCTTTTAATAGTGGACACATCGTCGAAAGGACTAGAAATTTCTAACAAAAAGAAAACATACAAACGCACGCGGATTTAAATTAAAAAACAAAATTTCCTTTATACATCTTCACTTTGATATAAAGGCCTAATAAAACACACAAAAATACACTCGCGGATATGATAAACGAACAATTGTATAATGGATTTTCTAATATGAAATATGTGTTGAAATTCTAATAAGAAAGCTAAAGCACACTTCACAACATTTATTGATAAATTTTTTAATTCATTTAAAATATAGAAAAGCTCTCGCTACAACAAAAACACGGATTTAAGAATGCTTTTAATTTTCAACTAAACTATTTGCAATACGATCGAATTGAATGGATGATACACGTAACCGCACGGCCCGACATTTAAGAAAGAAATGAATTGAGTAATGACGGAGAACAATTTATGGAGCGAGAAGTGGAGAGATCTCTCCGTTAATAGAACAAGAACTATCACGCCACATAACGATGTGAGTTAGGCAGATGTGAACATGCTGGAGTTCCTATTAGAATTCTAATTAAAACTGCCAACCTGTTACGGTGATGCCAATTTAGCGATTTTCAATACGTTTTGGAAGGCATTCATTATAAAAACAATAAATAATGAAAAACCAGTGAGCGGAGCAGTATAGTCGGACGGGGCCGACCATATGATACCCTACACAACTACCACGGAACTCAAATTTTCTGCGGATGTTTATTCCGAGCCTGGGCAATACTTGGTGATATTGGCATCCTCTTGCCCGATTAGAGGTAAACAGCACCTCTTCCTCACACTGACATATTTTCCGAATATTACGAGTATTCAGTACAGCTATTGTCCAGATTACCTTCAACGTGGGTTGTGTTGTGATGTTCGGCTTTCATTTGTGGTCTATATATCGACTCGAAAATAACACAAACAATTAAGTTTTCGGTCCACATCAGTCCAAAATTATTATCTGATCATCACCACAAATTATAGGCGTTGTCCTTGACCATAACTGGAACCTTATGGAACATTTCAAAGCGATCAGCGCTATAGTTCCGCGCTCTGGAGTGATAATGGGTTACTAAATAATATACGAATACGGAGATACCTGTAAATATTTAGGTGTAACTCCCACATCCGAGCACATACATCAATATAATTGGTATTAATTTAAAGGTCAACCACTACTCTTGGATATAATATCAACTTCTCGGATCTATGTCACTCAGGGGTAAATATATACGCTATAGAATACAAATTTTGTCATTTTTCACACAAAAGTCAGGGTCCATTTGACCCGCTAAATATTGGCCGATCTTTATGAAAGCAGGCATGCTTATTCTTTGGCCCGATACCCTTCTCCATGCAAAATTTCACGATGTTCGGGCCATTATTGCGGCCTCTGGAGCGACCAGAAAACCCGACAAAAATTTAGTATTTGGTCCATTTCATCCCCTAAATATTAACCGATCTTTCCCAAAAACAATAGGGGTCTTCATTGGCCAGAACCCATCCTACATGCAAAATTTCGTGAAGATTGGTCCATAACTGTGGCCTGTATCGTGTTTACAAATTATAATGGACAGACGGACGGACGGACGGACACACATGTCTGGATCGACTCAGCTAGTCGAGATATGACGATCGGTATACTTAAAGGTGGGTCTAGGACCAATATTTCGCGGTGTTACAAACTTTTGGGGCTGCACAAAGCTATAATACCCTGACAACATAGTTGTGTAGGGTATAAATATTAAAAAATTATATAACAGATAATAAGCCTTGAAAAATGAATTTTTGAAAAATCCACGCCTATTTTAATAAGCCTTGATTGAGTATAGGGAGAGATATTAGGGTTCAGTTCAAAAAAGTCCTAAAAAGTAGCAGCAAAGAAAAATGTAATATTTTTTTAACATTAACACCGATTTTTCGGGTATATTTTTTGGTTCTACCGATTTCTTTCGTTCAGAGACCCTTAGTAAAATTTGACGGAGAATATGTTTTTCTTTCAAACCAAACCCCCCTATTTTCTTTCAAACCAAACCACTATGTATAGGGAGTGATTTTGAGGTTCAGATCGAATATTCCATGAAAAGTGGCAAAAAACATATACAAAACATAACATATTTCTTCAAAATTTAAACCGATTTTTCGGGTATAATTGTTAGTTCCACGGATTTCTGTTGTTCAGAGACCCTTGTTGTTCTGAAGCCTTGAAAAATGAATTTTAAAAAATCCACTCCTTTTATAATAAGCGTTGAAAAATGAATTTTAAAAAATCCACTCCTTTTATAATAAGCGTTGAAAAATGAATTTTAAAAAATCCACTCCTTTTATAATAAGCGTTGAAAAATGAATTTTAAAAAATCCACGCCTATTATAATAAGCCTTGAAAAATTAAGTTTAAAAAATCCACGCCTATTATAATAAGCCTTGAAAAATTAAGTTTAAAAAATCCACGCCTATTATAATAAGCCTTGAAAAATTAAGTTTAAAAAATCCACGCCTATTATAATAAGCCTTGAAAAATGAATTTGAAAAAATCCACTCCTTTTATAATAAGCCTTGAAAAATTATTTTTTAAAAAAATCCACGCCTATTATAATAAGCCTTGAAAAATTATTTTTTAAAAAATACACGCCTATTATAATAAGCCTTGAAAAATTATTTTTTAAAAATCCGCGTCTATTATAATAAGTCTTGAAATTTAATTTAAAAAAAATTCACGCCTATGTTTCACCCTTGAATGTCAACTCCAACAAAAATCGCTAAATTGTCATTACTGTTGCAACTCTCTGCTGTAGCATTGCCCGAATTTTGGGAGTTCTAATTTGCATCTCATAACATCTCCCCACACCAACAACTCTGTGTGTGAGTGCGTAATGCAATGGAGTTTACCAATTGGCTCTCTCTTCGTAGGTAGAGTGAGTGGGGCAGCTCTCCAATTCGTTTGATCCCTTCATTGTTCTCGAAAATTACTCGGCTTTAGTTCTTTTTTAAATGGCGTGAAGTGCGGTTGCGGGAATTCTTTTACAGTTAGAAATCGATCGAATTGGAATATTAGCTTTGCAAAATAATTAAATAAATGGCCTGGTAGGAGTCCGTTTTTCGCGAGTGATTGTAATAAAAAAATCAATTTATAAAGGAAACAAATAGTGTGTCGCTTTGCCTTAAACGTGTTGTTGTAGTAGTTAAGTCTTTTACTTCCTACTGATTTTCCTTTCGTTTCCTTGTCCCAGTCGCTCCGATAATTGTTTAATGTAATTGTTGTGTGTCGATATTTTATCGGGGTTTTTACTATCGCGTTTACATTTTCTAAAAAAAATAAAAATAATTTCTTCATTTTCCGTGTGTTATGGTTTTTGTTTCGTTAG